CTGGGCATCGGTCGGCGGGTGGTGAGCAATTGCACTGTGCATCACTTGCTTTGTATATTTATTATTATTATTGTTACATTATCATTATTATATTTATTATTATTTTATTTCAATTATTAAACTGTTTTTAAGTCAACCCACGAGTTTTTCTCACTTCTACTCTTCCAATTCTCTCCCCCATCCCACCGGGGGGCGGGGGGGAGTGAGCGAGCAGCTGGGTGGTGCTCAGTTGCTGGCTGAGGTTAAACCACAACAAGCACCCAGAGCCTCACTTGCCAGTGCTATCACCTGTACTCTGAAGGTTATTAGAAATGAGATTTTATGGTGTCTAATAGGCCCATTCAGACAAATCAGGGACACTTTTGAAAGAAAGGCTGTGGAATAATCCTACTCCAGCTTTAAAGAGATTCTTGGACATTTTAAACTGGTTTTTATCTGTTACTCCACCAAGTGTTCAGTGATATAAATACTTGAATTCCTGCCAAATGTGTGGTGTTTTTTGAAGCTCAAGGGTAGACATCAGGTAGAGCTGAAACAGTTACAAGTCAGATATTTTTGTACTTAATTGTACTGAATAGTTACAGGTAAGTCAACAGGTGCTTTCATACAGTGAACATAAAGCTACTTTTGCTTACAAAGGAAATTGCTGAAATAAAAATATTTGCTGAACCACAACAGAATAGATTTGTGGGGTTTTTTTTAACTTTTGAACACATGCCAATAAATGGGAATTGGATTTTATCAAGCATCAGCATGGTTTCTTGTGTCACAAACCAAAGCTGTTTAGAAGCGCAAGTTACATTTTCACATCCCTTTAAAAGAAACCTCATTCCTGTGTAAACTAGCTCACGTCATTTCCAAGCAAATCCCTTGCCTCTGGTTTATCATCAGCAAGATTTTAAAGTTGAAAATTTAAAAAAACCCACCAAACAGAACCAAATGAAACTGGAGGTCTGTAACTTAAAACACAGATATGCCTGTTCACTTAATCTGACTGGCTGATAACATTTATCACATATGGTAGCTTTTTTTCTTTCTTATGCTTCCAGAGCAAGGAGATAACTTTGTAAAACTATTTCCAAGGATGTGTAATAACAAAGGAGATTTGCATTTTGCTAGTGTTAGTGCAAATCAGGAGTCATTCTCTTGGAACTGATGGAGTCGCGTAGACATAAGGAAAAGAACTGGATTATCATTTCTAGTGAGCACTTCACTTGTGTTTCCATGAACATGTCTTTTCTCATTTTCCTCACGTTATATCTGATGCATTATAGCAGTCAGTGACAGACTTAACGTTGTCCAGATTTTTATCTCATAAACAAAACTTAATAAAAAACCACAGAGCAAGTTTGAAGGCTAAGATTTATGTCCTATTATGTGATGTACAGTGATTGCATGTTGCTGACCTTGGCCTTTCTATTAACTTCCACACAGAAGATTGCTTGCAACAGAGCAAAATAAA